CAATCCTCACTCCACGCATCCATGCGTCACGCGTCTTTGGTAGCGCATACTATGGGGGCTATATTTGGGGTGGCGTGTTTTACAGCGCTTTGTCAACAGCGCCAACCCACTGAAGTCGAGATTGCGAGGGGAGGGGGGGGGGATCCGTTTAGCTATGTCCACAGCAATAATGTAAACTACACCGCCACACTTCCTTGAAAGAAAATCCACCACGCTACAGCACAAAGGCATCTCACATCCAAGGCGTAGTTGCTTGCTCCGAGTTGCTTGAGCGCGTGCCCCATTGGCTCAAAGAACTTGAGCATAGTCCCCAGAACCCCGCTGCTCCAGGTAGGGTGCTTCATCAGAACCTTGTCGTTGTTGCCCCTGGGTGACACTCTGCGGATATGCACAGCGAAAGGCAGACACACACGTCGGTTGTGAGAAGAGGAAGAGGCATGTGCGTCAGCGCAGGGGTTCATACGTGAATGTCGTTATGTCCGTGGATGGGGCAGGGGAAAGGCAAGAACTCCTCCTTGCCGCCTAACCTAAAANCAACCCTGTGTGGTTTGTTCACTTTGTTTGGTGTGTGTTGTGCACACGTGCGCCTAGAGTGTTCACACGGTCTAAGTAGCATTAAGAGGCAGACCTCCGCGGCACTTAAATACAGTGCGTGCGCTTCACACACCACCGCCTAACCCTTGCCCCTAAGCGCCTAATGTTAGCGCACCCTATCCCTATCAAGCGGAATGCCACATGTTCAGAAAATCAGCGGACCGATTTGGTCAATAATGGAACAGCGGAATAAACTCAAACAGCAGGCACACCTTGACCTTCACAACCTAACCCCTTACTGTTCTCCAATACGTAATCGGGGCCTCCTCACCCTCATGCTGTTCCTCCTCATGACCACGTAACCGGTGGAGCCGAAATGCGCTTGGAGCTGAGCCTCGATCGCTTCCCAAGTCGTCTTGCTGTCGGCTCCGTCGGCCACTTCGAACACGTGTCCTGCCTGATAATCCGCGACGGCTGTATGATAATGGTCATACCGGGGGATAAACAAACGATGGGCGGACGTGGTGGGCCAGGGTTTGTGCTTGCTCCAGGGGCCAGGAGTGGGGGAGATGACGAGTATCCGCTGCCTGTATTGCAGTCAATCAGACAAGCGTGGTGTGCAGGCACTTGTTTATATAACAGACACGTTACTTGCAGGGAAGCATATAATGCCGAGAGGTTTCGGAAAACGTATTGTTCGGCAGGAGACCATAGTACCATTTTGTACCATAGGAACCATATTGGTTGTTCTTCAATTGAGCAATTGAAGAACCGTCAAGGGGGTGCGGTGTGCACCGTACAATATGGGGCCTGCAGACAAAAAAATACGATTGTTTGTTCCACCCCCCACCACATCACAAGTGCCATACAAACAACGAAACAAAATGCACGTCCTTAGTCCTTAGTTCCTGCTCCTGCCCACACCTAAAGGATCCGAAGCTCCTGCCGCTTCCGGCATTTCCACGTCATCGCCGGCTGCGCGAACCCCTTCTGCGATGCTTCGCAAGCACGAGAGACACAGAGAGAGACACACAGCCGAAAGGGAAAAAATGGATTGTGGAGAGAGCGCACGAGCGGACGAGAGAGACGTCAACATTTTCCTAGAACGAGTGTACGAGGCAGAAGGACGAGGACCTCTGTACCGAACGCCGGCTCTCGGCCAGGGATACAGCAGTATCTACAACTACATACCTTTACCTCCGATTTGAACGCGCGAGAGGGGGGGGGTGGAATACCAACGGCTGTGTGCTCGTTTTTCTGCGTTTTTGTTTTGGTCTCACCGTTTGGACCTGGCTGCCCCCGACCAATGCTTGCCGCCAACCAAGCAAGTCCAGCAGAGTCCTCTAGCATTGGCCGGCCTTCTCGAGAGGAGGAGGAGGCGTCGTCATCCCGTGACTGCACGGGTTGACGAGCTTCCTCTTCCTGTTGCTATTGCTGCTCTTGACTCTCGCACCTCTCCTGCCTCAGCTGCTGCTGCAGCTGCTGCTGCTGCTCCCAGTGGTTCATCGCACCCCTGGGTGTTGTCTAGTGCGAGTGCTTCCTCGCCCAAGAGAAAGGGCTCGCCTTCTCGGAGGCAGGGTAGAGCCGTTTGGCCTTCTCGGATGCAGGGTAGGGCGGGAGTGGAGGGGAGTAGTGGGCCGAGCTGTGCCGGACCGCTTGCTCCAACGCCAACACGTTGTGCGCTCTCACACTCAATGCTGTCACCGCTGAGGACCGCATGGTCGTTGACGCCTGCACTCATCTCTTGGGCCCGTGTGGTGGCCTCGTGTGTGCCGGACTAGTGTGGGCAGGGTTGTGGCTGTACGGGTGCTGTGTTGTGATGTGGTGTTGAGGCCAAAATTCAAATGGCAGCTCACGGAGCCGCGGGAGCCGCTGGGTATACCGTGTTCTATCTCACGGAGCTCCCTGGGTGCATCTAAGATTTGCGCCTATATGGGTGCATCGAAAATTTTTGTTCTATATCTAAAACATTTCTGGCTCTATCGACGATCACCGACATGACTGCAACCCGCTCTATGCAGCGACGTACCCGACTTTATATTTACAAGTGCAGTAGACGGTCAACATTTCGGGAAAGCTTTGCAGTCGGCGAACTTACAACGACGTGTCGGAAATGCTAAATCGTCCTAGTCAGTTTTGTATGAATGTGTACATGTTTACCGACGGGCACCAGTGGTGCGGGAAGCGCCTCCAACAGCGAAAGTGTTTGGGGTATAGTTGGGATACGATGTGTAATGATTGTCGAGCACATCGGTTACATGTATAGAATAGGTGCGAGACGGTCACGTTAGCGATTCACACACGGCATGAACGTTTTGAAATGGAGCGAATGTATGGGATGCGTGCATATTATTGCCATCTCACGAGGCGGCGGATTTCCGCAGGACGTAAGGAGATTAATGATATGGGTTATCGGTGGTACGGATTTCGGTACGGATTTCGCGTCGCTGACGGAATTCGAGGATGCGTGCTAATTCGAGCCATCCATATCGCGACATCGATTATGTATATATTCGAGGATGCGTGCTTCTTCGAGCCATCCGTTTGTTCTTCGCATGAACTATCGCGATTTGGACGATGTGAGTATATGTGCCTCTTGGAATCATCCATTTGCCCTTCGCATGGATGTCGCGACACCGACGAGGATGCGTGCCTTTTTGAGCCATCCATATGTTTTCGTGTGACTTTCGCGACACCGACGACATACGTGCAGTCCTCGATCCGATGGAATATGACGCCATTTCGTGGGCCGTCCTCGATACGATGTGTTTCCGTTACAGGTTCTGAGTGCATTCCTGCGGGTGTTGCAAGTTACTCGAAACATCGATCGCAATCTTACGTGGGCCCATCTACGCGACGCGCTAGTGGGCGCCCGTCAAATCATGATAAATGTTCTTAGCCCGGACGCAAATTGGGAGATGCGTGCTCTAGAGCCATCCGTTCCCGTTCGCTTTGCGATATAGCAGCGACCGCCTCGAAGCCGAGTCTGTCCATTCAAGGAGGGTTCGATACGATAGTTTTGGAGAGCAAGTTCGTGGGCCGTCCTCGATACAATGTGTCTCGGGATGCGTGTTTCGAACCATCCGTGTTTCCGATTGGCGACGTCCTCGATACAACCTTGTTTCCGTCCTCGATACGATGGGTTTGCGATTGCTGTGGACGCCATTTCGTGGGCCGTCTTCAATACGATGTGTTCCGGGATGCGTGCTTTCGAGCCATCCGTTTGTTTTCGATTTACGATGTAGCAGCGACCCGTTTTGATGCCACGCCGTTAGCTGTCCTCGACGCGATCGCTGCTCGGGGGCAAAAGACGAACTCGAAATATATATGGCGAAGGGTTGGGATGCGTGCACATTCTGCCATCCCCGCAATGCGGATCTCCTGCGAAATTGACGGACATTAGGCGAAATTCTCGGTTTCTCAATTTACGAGTTGCGACATCGTGACCGCTGATGGCGATGAGTGCTGGTTATAGCCATCCCCAGCATCACGACACGAATATTTCTGGCGAGGCGTTGGGATGCGTGCAAGTTCTGCCATCCCCCGACATGACGGATGTCCTGCGACGTCGATGGATATGACTCTCTAAACATTTCTCGCGATGCGTTCGGATGCGTGCACGTTCTGTCATCCCCCGGCAATGACGGATGACTGCGAAATTGACGAATATTTCATTTGCTTACGGATCTGTGAGACGGGAACGGTTCATTTTACGATTGGCGCGACTATTACGAGTAGTTGGGATGTGTGCTGGTTGCAGCCATCCCCCGAAATGACGAATTTCCCGCGAATTGACGGCGATTCGGCAAAATATACGTTCGATGGGCGCCAACGTGGCTGCTCATGGGGGTATGCGCCGGTTATCGCCATCCCCAGCATGACGAATTTGGGTGGAAAGATTGCCTGCGACGCGTTGGGATGCGTGCACGTTCTGCTATCCCCTGGCAATGACGGATTGCCTGCGAAATTGGCGAATATTATGCGGGAGCCGTCGTGGCCGTTGGCGAGGATGAGTGCCGGTTATAGCCATCGCCAACATGACGGATTTAGTTTTTATTTTTTTTTATACGCAACGATTTATCGCGATGTGTTGGGATGCGTCCATCCTCCGGCGATGGATTTCCGGCGATACTGACTGATATCATGCGCAATATACGATTTATGTACGATGGGCGCCATCGTGGCCGCTGATGAGGATGAGTGCCGGGTATAACCATCCCCAGCATGACGGATTTTGTGCGAAAAGACTTCCCGCGATGCGTTGCGATGCATGCACGTTCTGCCGATTTCTGCGACAGTGAAGCGACTCATCGTAGCGAATAAATGTTTTCCTCACGGTTCGAACGCTTACGGCGACTACTAAGATGTGGGCACGTTCCAGCCGTCCCCGACATGACGACCGCTCGGGATGCATGCACGATTTCGGCCATTTCCTCGCAATGGCGATTCTCCGAAAAGGGCGCATGGTTTTCACATACAATAGGTTCATGCGTAAACACGGACGAGCATATTCGATACGACCCGTCCCCGTTCCAGGTCCTCGCGGCGTTTCTACGCATCATGCAAGTTACCCGTAACTCCGGCAACGTGCATACGTGGCGTGACCTGAAGGCGAGCTTGAAGGCGGCGGAAGATATCATGCAACCCGGGGCTGTAACCCGGGGCTGTAGGAGAAACGACCGTGAGACAACAGATTACCGCAGACACCATCTTGCGGGGTGATCGCCTCGCCAATAGGCTGACGCAGACTTTCCGGGCATCGGCCCCCGCGATTGTGTTGATCATGTATACTGACATTCTCCCCAACGCCCATGGGGTCAAGAATGAGCTGCTTTCGGCGGACTTGGCGCGCATCAAGAAGAGTACGGTCAAGTTGTCGGCGTTAGCAGCACCGTTGAAGGGAGTGGTCTCGGGAATACGTTTTATGGGTGTGACGCACGCCCTGCCGGGACCGGCCATGACTAAACCGTTTTCTCACGTAGCCATCGGCGGCGGGGCTTTTGGCCTCGGCAACCACCCTCTCGGGGTACCGCCGCAACACCGAACGATTGCGGCCGGATTGGGGGGCTACGCCGCGCGTCCCTCGACCACCTCGCCGGCAGCCGAGGTCGCAGATGTCCCAGAGTGCCGCCCAGGCCGTCACGATGGGAGCCAGGACAGGGCACTATACTCCGTGGCCGTCCGTCGGACCGGGGGGGGCCGGGAGGCGCGTAGCCGGGGCAGGGGTAGCCAGCATGCCGCCGTTAGACATGTCCCAAAACCACTACCGTATGTTGGTGCAGGTGCGCAACCAGCGCAATGCAGCCCTCCAGCAGCAGCAGTTAGCGAACGCGGGCGTTTCGTCGGGAGGGGGAAATGTGTAGCAAGTGCCCAGCTATCATCCAGCAGTAGCTGCGACCCATATCATTCGCACCTGACGTGTGCGTTTTGGATCTACCGCAGATGTAAAGAGGGCGGCCATCGAATGCACGTGTGTCCGAATCCGTGGTGGCCGCCGTGTATGGGTTCGGACGCTCGATCGGCTCGTTTGGATTTGGTATCGTTGTAGATGCGTTACGCGTGCGAGCCTTTGGGCGCTCACAGGATAGACTACCCCGTGGAGGGTACGGTGCGTGTCGATGGTTGCGCACCCGAGGCATCGATTTAACGGACGGAAGTCCAATCTACGATCGAGTTTGGTTCGCTTTCGTTGTTCATGCTATTGCAGAAAGATGGCGATGCGACCGCGGCCGGCCGGGGGAGGTCCCGTCTGACAAGTGCGTTTTCCCTTGGTAGCACCCCAAGTCAGTTCGCCTCACTGTTCTGTTTGCGGTTTGTTCACGAACGACCCGTGTCATGTACAGAAAATACCGTATGCATGCATTACTGCGATAGTCAGCCGGGAGTGTCGTTGTTTCTGCTCTCCTTGCGTCCGCCATGTCTCTCGGTGGGTCCGTCTGGTCACAGTGCATCGTAGCTACGCTCGCCTTAAGTGCTCTTACCCTCAATTTCAGTCATAGATTGTGCCCGTCTTGAAATCGAAGGGGCCCGTTGCCATCGCTACACTACAGTAGCCTATACTGTATGTGTATACTGATGTACCGTGTCGCTTAGGTATGCGCCGATGATGGCAAACGAACCTAGCGCGACGACACGCGCAAGTAAGAGTCACCTTTGCAGAGGTCCCCGATCTGTCCGAAGAGCTAAAAGGGTGGGTGGGGCCGCGTGCAAAGCCGAGCGTAGAAGACGTACTGTGGCCGACATAGAACGCGAACCGAGAGGAGCTCCCGTAAGAGATGCCGGCGAAAACGGCGAAGACTTCGTACATGGGGAATTGAATCATAACTGCGAGGTTTGGGACAAGGTTACCCTGTGAGACCATCCCGATCGATACCAACTCCTGTCATATCTACGAGACGGCGTTAGCGTCTTCGACTCTCTTACAGAAGAATACCGCGGGCGTTCAAGCCAGGAACCGTATCGCCCCGACGCCTTCCCGGGAGCAGTTTTTCCCAACCGCTCCCGACCAGCACGCGGCATGCGTGCCTCGAAGTGCAACAGCTGGCTAAGCGCGGCTGTATGGTTCGGTGGGCTGATGTTAAAGGTCCCAATTGCCCGGATAGGCCACAGCTTGTGCTGCCTATCTCGGTCGAGCCCTCCAAACCGCGTATGACCATCAACGGTATTACCCTCAACAATTAGTTCTTGTAGACTTACATGCGCCATTTACGATGGGCACGATTTCACGCGTAGCGGTGGTGGCTGAAGGAGGTGTTTTCTGTAGGCGAGTCAGGACGACCGCGCGGGCTTCCATAACCTCAGCCTGCAGCCAGTGAGTTGACCGCTTTTCGGCGTGCATTACGAGGGCGTCGATCGCGTGTGTAATACCCTCCCCTTCGGATGGAACGAGAGCCCGCTGTGTTATCATTGTCTGAGCGAAGCTACGGCTGCGTGTTTACGATCAAGACACTCACACTGGATAAAAGATTCGTGTCGAAGCTCAAGTGTGCCATGTCGGAGATATTGGGCAAGTCCGATCCCTGGGATGAGCGGGAGAAGCGAGGTGATGCAGCCGATAGTACGGTGGTGCGTGATTACCTCTCGTGGGTGCAAGTCGAACAGCACAGAGTGGGGGTTACCGCCAAACAAGCCTTGCCGTCAAACAAGCCAGACCGATGCTGGCTCCACTTCTCCTGCGTCTTATAAGGTACATGCGCAACACCCTGAACCAGCTGCACACGATACAAGAGCGTGTTGTTCGTAGTAGAGATATCGCGCTGTTTGTTACAGCCTTCCACACGATGCAACGAGGGTTCGATTTGGCATGCGCCTTAGCGGCGCAAGTTTTGAGCCTTCCCGACGGTTCAGGGATGATTTTCAACTTCCATTTTGGTGAGACTATGAGAATTTCCTCGCATGCGGTAGTCGTGCGGCGAGACCGTCAATGTCCCGAGCTTTGTCCCGTGCGCGCGATGCAGGAGTTTTTCATTGTTGCTAAGTCGGTGGGCTGAACGTGCGTGAAGGGTATTTGTTTTCCGAGGTCAACGCGGATGGTTCGAGGGGGTCGTCACAGTGGCCTGCCGCGCGTATGACAGCGACACTGCAAGCCCACATGCGAGCGAGTCGCCTTCAAGACGCCGATGGACATTATACTATGCATTCATTTAGATTGGGCGGAGCAGTGAGCCAGTCGCTAGCGGGGACTGCCGTAGAAACCTTCATGGACTTTGTGGGGTGGAAGACGGAAAGGGTGGCGCGGCGATATGTGGGGTCCACGATACAAGAGGAGGGTGTTTTCCCTAAGCGACGGCGAGTTCAGGGACAACACGAGCAGGAGAGGTTGTACATGGAGACTGTTGATCTTCTGTTGCAAGAAGGTTTCACGGATAGGATCTCGGCGTCTAGGTAACGGAGTACACTGACGATGCGTTGTTATTGGCTGATTTGAAGATACCATGTGGCTAATCACCATCGATGCAGAAGTTTGGGGATTAAATTCAGGCAACGACAAGGAAGGGTTAATTAAAGACATGAAGTATGGATGGATCCCATGCCGTAGCAGGAGGCCTCATTTCATCCCAAACTTCGTCGACAACTATTCCGCAGTATTATTTAGGAGCGTTATTCACGCAACGGAAAAGTCGTGTAATTTTCCACGGAACGGTCAAACGAAAACCCGAATTATTTTCGCTTGTTCTGTTCGTGGTGTCATCGCAAAAAGTACGTTCGGTTCCTTCCCTGAATACACGCTTTGCTCGGCGCACAACAGGTTGACTTGGTGTTGCTCACCATATAGTGCAGCGGTCCAAGTGCAGCACCCGACGCAGAGGACAGCACACTAGAAAAATCCTATCCACCCGGCCTGCTGTTTTTAGTTTTCAGCAACGAGAGGCGCAGGGCACAACAGCAGTGTCGCAACCCAGAGCACCCAAGCACCCAATTCCCACGAAGCAGCACGGCGCCGGGAGATGGTATGACATGGACAGCCGAACCGGGAATCTGCGCGTTGGGTGTCTTGGTGCTGCTGCTGTACTCGTCGTACTGTTTCCGTGTTTGCTATACATGTAAATAGAGTATGTTTGTCGGCCGTACTCCGCGTACTTATCGGGACTTGTTTGTGTAGTGTATTAACTTCAGACGGTGAGACAACGCCCGTACCCAGGACGCTGTCGTGCTCGGAAAGGAGGAGAGAGAGAGAGAGAGTAGAAGCACGGCTGCTGCACTCAACAAAGGGGGTCCCGGTGCTTCATCACCGTACCCCTACCTTAAAGGTTCTACACCATCTGCGTCACACTTGTACGTACGGGTAATGTATCCACCATGTCCGTAGACCCACGAACACCCTCCCTGGTTCTTCACGCGAGTGACTAACCATCAGTGGGGCAAAAAAAACACCCCGTATACATCAATAAAAAACCATAAGGTGGTGGAGGGGAAACCCGGCCCCCGGGCAAAACCCCTCCAAAGAAAACCCTATCCAACACAAAAACCATTGCTATCACGGCGGATGCACAACGGCCGCACTTATCAGAAAGGCCAAGGCGAAGACAAGATCGCAAGGAACTACGTTCCCCCGGACGATGGCCTCCCAACGCCCCCTACTGCTGCCATGGGTACACAGACCGCGACAGTAATGCGACTTTCCCGCATGGTAAACATGGCCCTTCCCAAGTGCTAAAAACTGCTAGCTACTCCGGCAAATTCATCAACTTGCGCCGGTGGTACTGCAGACTGCTCTTGCTAAGAGCCTTGGTAAGCATGTCGGCATGCTGCTCCGACGTCGACACAAACTTGATCGAGATGTCCCCCGACCTGAACAATCCACGAATGAAGTGGTACCTCACGTCGATGTGCTTGCTACGCGCTGAGCTGAGGGGGTTCTGCACCAAAGCCATAGCCCCCTGATTGTCCTCAAGGACCTGAATGCTGCTGCCACTGGTCTCTGGGGCAATAAACGAAAGCACTGCACGCACAAACAAAGCTTCCTTCACACCCTCCCCGGCAGCAATGTACTCTGCCTCCGTAGACGACAAAGATACGATAGCTTGCGTCTTGCTACCGTGGCTGATGACGGTCCCTCCAACCGTTGTTGCCAGCCCTGACACCGAACGCCTATCCTCAGCGTCGGCGTAGCTAGCGTCCACGTACACCGCCAGCCCCAACCCCGATCCCCGTTCGTAGGTGATCCCGAGGTCCCTCGTCTCTTTGAGGTAGGCGAGGATCTTCACGATCGCCTTCCAGTGCCTCTCGGCAGGGGCATGGGCATGGCGCGCTACCGCACGCACGGCGAACGAGATGTCCGGGCGCGAGAACGTCGACACCCACATCATGCTGCCGATGGCCTCCCTCACCGGCCATTCCCCTCCACTCTCGTCATCCCGCTTCGGTCCTATATCGACACCAGGGGAAGCAGGGATGGAGGAGGTCGACTGCACATCAAAGCGATTCACGATGCTGTCAATGTACGCGGTTTGGGAGATTCTAAGGGTCCCAGCCTCTAGGTCTCTCTCGACGGCACACCCGTCGAACCACACGCACTCTCCAAGGTCTTTGGTGGGGAATGCCTTGTTGAGGGAAGCAAGCAACTCCTTGCAATCATCATCAGACCCAGCCACCAAAATGTCATCCATATAAATCACGATAATCATCACCACGACACCGTCTTTCATCTTGGGGAAGACCCACGGGTCAGCCTTGCACTGCTCGAACCCGTTTTCTACAAGCGTATCGGCAGCGTGGTACCCCCACTGCCTGCTGCTCTGCTTCAAGCCGTAAATGGCACACCCGGCCTTCACAAGTTTGTGGGATTTTTCCCCGCACCCCGCGGGGAGCCTCAGAAACACATCCTCATCCAACTCAGCGTGTGTAAACGCCTGCTTGACATCCCAGTGGTTGAGTTTCAGCGATTTCTCGTTGGCTACCGCAAGCATCAGTTTAATGGATGCGGATGATGGGCAAGGGGAGGATGAGTGGAAGTAGTCCACGTTCGGGATTTGCGAAAACCCCCTAGCGACCAGACGCGCTTTGAACTTCTCAATTTTTCCGTCCTTGTTTGTCTTCCAAGTGAAGCGCCACTTCGAGCTCACGGGTCTACGCCCCTCTGGCGTACCGTCTACGAATGAAAACGTTCCCGTGCCCAAGTGCCCATCAAACTCTTCCCTCATGGCCTGTTCCCATCCCTCTCTGTACACAGACTTGGTAACGCCGGCTACGCTCATGGGGGGGGTTTCAACGTCACTCGGACGCTTGCCTATCGGGGATTCTGTACTCAGCTCGGTCGACGCCAGGGCCCTCGCGAAGGCGTCTGGAGAGTTGAGCACGAGGTCCTCCGCTCCCAGCAGGAAGTCCTCTGCCTCTTGGCGCGCGATGTTGGCCTCCTCCGCGCGCTCGCACAGCAGCGCTTGCACTGCCCTCGCCTTTAGCTCTTCCACCACGTCGACCACACACGCGATCATCCAGTGGGTGTGCTCCGTCGTGCTGTTGATGGGCAGGATGGGCAGCCCCGCCTCCGACGCATGGCGGGCGAGCAGGCCTTCGGCACTCGTTGGCGACGGCGACGACTCGTACCTCATGTTCCGGCGAGGGTTCTCCCTGAGTCGGCGGCTGGTGAGCTCCGCCGGCTCGCCAAAGCGGGCGAGCTTCCGTCCCTCGGGCCCGCGGAGCGCCGGGATGCCCGTGTCGCTGCCGCTGTAGCTGTCGCTGCCGCTGTCACTATCGCTGTCGCTGCCGCTGTCACTGCCGCTACCGCTGCTGTTGCTGCTGCTGCTGCTGCTGCTGCTGCCGCTGCTGCTGCTGCCGCCACCGCGGCTGCTGCTGCTGCGACGGTCGTCCTCGCCGCCGCCCACATCGGCCATCCCGGTCGACGTGGTAGATGGGGCGACGCTCGCGCCCTCCCTGCTCGAGGGGGCGCCATCGCCAGCGTCGCCCGCGCCCGACTCCTGGGGCGCGGCCGGCGGCGCCGCCGGCGCATCACGCGCGGGCGGCTCCGCGGGCCCCGGGTTTGCCGTCGTGTCAAGGTGGAAACCTCCATCCTCAGGTTCTCCCTCCGCCCTCCCTCCACCGTGGCATGACGCACCCTCCCCGCCCTCGTGCTCCCCAGTCGTGAGCTCCTCGTCCTCCTCTGCAATGGGAGGCAGCGGCTGGGGGTGCGCGGTCGGGGCGGCGGGCACAGATTGCCAGGTGAAGTTGCGAGTTGTGATCGCTTGGCGTTTTTCGTTCAGGATGCGCACGCAATCACGGTTTGTGTTGATTCCAGGGCCGAGGTAAAAACACTTTTTTGCTTTCGGCTCTGACTTGTGCGTGCGCTTGACCTTGTATACGGCGGGTTTGAGGAACGGGTACGTCGCCTCTGGGGGAGGTGGGTGCCCGTGCCACATTTCTTGTCCGGGTTGGATGTTCGGGTTGGATGTGGTGGAGGTGCAGTTAAGGGCGTTGCATGCCCAAGCTGTAGCTTCGGCCCAAAGGGAGGGGTAGCTCGGCGCTTCGGGGTAAAGAATCGGCGCTTGTATGCGCGCGGCTAGTGCTGCATCCTTGATCAGTCCCAGTGCTCTCTCAGCTACACCGTTGTATTCTGGGCTGTATGCGGGGGTGAACTCCTGCTTGATGCAGTACTTGCGGCACAGCTTTCCGAACTCTCCCTCGAAAAACTCTCCTCCGTTGTCAGACCGCACGACCATGACCTCGGATGGGGCTCCGTCTGCCCGGTTTTCCGCTAGGTATCTCTCGAATGCTTCTGCAGCGTCTGACTTGTTTTTCAAGAAGTAGACGCGGTTCCACCTCGTGCAGTCATCCCTTACAATGAGCGTGTACCACTTCCCCCCCAAGCTCTGCACCCTTGCGCTCCCACTCAAATCCACAAAAACTCTCTGCAGCTTTTAAACTGCTCGGGTGGACGTCCTGTTGGGGATGGGCTTGGGTAGCCCCTTTGCCGTCGAGCACCCCATGCACTCCCGGAGCTGGCCCACCAGCGTCACCCCTTGCTGCTTCGCCGTGTTCTTCAGCAGCACCTCGTGGGAGTGGCCGTGCGCGCAGTGGAAGTCGTTGATGTCAACGGGGGTGCGGTTCGCTTTCGCGTTACCAGGAGCAATTATGGCACAGGCTAGTTCCCTGCCTGAGTCTATGCGGAGACCAGTCTGAACGAACAGGTCCCCCCATCGAGGGAAGTACATCGACTCCCCCCCACCAACGAACACCTCCAACTCACGCTCGTCTGCGGCTAAGCGGCCCTTGGTTTGCTTCAAAAGGGCTGTGAGGGACACGAGGTTGTAATTCAGCTCCGGCACATGAGCGACCCGTTTCAACAGCAGGTCTGTGGTCCCAACGCGAGAACCGATGGTCACCCTCACGTCGCCGTAGCCTACTATGGCGAAGGCTTGCTTCCCTGCGGCGACACTCAAACGTCGATCGCACTCATGGTAGTTTTCGAACGCGTTAGCGCTCGGGAACATGTGGTTGGTTGCGCCGGTATCGGCCACAAACCTTTCCTGCCTGGCCTGCTCTACACCCCCTCGATCAACGACTCTGTTCCACTCGCCTGTGAAGTCACGGACCACTAGCGCCTCCTCTGCCACGTCCAGTGCGGTGGCGTCCAAGACCGGCAGCTCCACCGCGAGCACCGCCTGCTCGGACGAGCACTTGCTCTTGTCGTGTCCGTAGCCCAGGCATTTCTCGCATCGCAGGGGCTCGGGCTTGGTACAGGCAGCCGACTGGTGACCCTTCTCTCCGCACCGGAAGCAGCGACCATGCGTGCTACCTGCACCGCCGCCGCCTCCGCCGCTGTTGCCACCACCACCGCCCTTGCGACCACCCCCTTTCCCCTTCTGGCTGCCACCGCCGCCGCCGCCCTTGCTGTGGCCGCCGCTGCTGCGGCCGGGCGCTCCGCCCCTGTTGCCACCGTCGCTCGCGAGGAAAGCATGCTCCGCCTTCCGCTGGCCCTTCGTGGCCCTCCTCCCCTCCGGGAGGCTCGCGTGCACGGTACTGACGACCCTGATTATCTCGCCCCGGTCCAGAGTTGTAGCCGTCTCCAACAAGAATTTGGCTTGTTGGTACTCGGGTGGAAGGGCATCGACAAAGTGTGCGAGAACAAAGGGTGTGTCAGCGTTGAGCCCTTTTTCCCGCAGTCGTGAGTACAGCAGCTCGAGCGTGTATAGATGCTCGACAGGGTTGCTGTTGCTGTGTGCGGGGATCGTGAATCGAAACATCTTCTTCATGAGGGCTTGTTTCGAGCCCTGCGACTCCGGGTTGTGTACTTTGTCGAGTTCCGCAAGAATTTCCTTTGCGGTCTCGCATTTGTTCACGATTGCCTTGTCGGCTTCTCGGACGATGGCTGTAGTCACAAAGTGGAACGCCTGGAGGCCCCTCTGAACCTCATCACTTGTGTAGCCCAAGCTATACAGCTCCGAGCTAGGCCTGTTTGGGTCACCGACGGGTGCGTGCTTCTCGGCATTGCCGATAAACTGCCCGTCCAAGCCTACGGTTTTCGCGGCTTGAATAAGGGCCTTTCTCCACGAGTCGTACCCGTGGCCGCGACTCTCCCCTTCGAGACGCGGTGCATTGACCGTAACACGTTTTTGGCTACTACTGCTGTACCCATCGAAAAATGCTCCGGCCCCTCGAATTGCGGTTTGCTCACCTTGGGGGCTTAACCCCCTCGCTTCCCCGCGGTCCGGTCCTACGCCCGGGCTCATTCCGGCTGGCCCCACAGGATTCGCTCCCGATCTACTTGCCCAGCCAGTCGTCACTCTCGCTGGAACCCCAGGACTCGCTCCCGGTATGTTGTCCCAGCTGCTTTCCCGCGGGTGATTTCGCCCATCACGGGCCGTTTCCCGGGAAAATGCCCCGCCGCCCCCAGGCGGCAGAGCCTCTCTCTGGCTTGGGACGGCAGCACCGCTGCCCCTACTGGCATCGCCCGCCACGGCGTCACCAGGCTCCTTCCTCTTCAACTCCATCACTACGCTCATCAGCTGCTATAACTGGCCCTCCAGCCTCGCAATCGCCGGATTTTCGGCGTGTTGCTGTTGCGTGGCCGAGGTCTCTTCCCCCAGCCCTCCGACGGAACCGCTGTTCGACGCAGACATCACCCGATCGATGCGGCTATCCCTCGAGGGACAATCAACTCTAGAGTGTTTGTCGGCCGTACTCCGCGTACTTATCGGGACTTGTTTGTGTAGTGTATTAACTTCAGACGGTGAGACAACGCCCGTACCCAGGACGCTGTCGTGCTCGGAATGGAGGAGGAGAGAGAGAGAGAGAGAGAGAGAGAGTAGCAGCACGGCTGCTGCACTCAACAAAGGGGGTCCCGGTGCTTCATCACCGTACCCCTACCTTAAAGGTTCTACACCATCTGCGTCACACTTGTACGTACGGGTAATGTATCCACCATGTCCGTAGACCCACGAACAGAGTAAAATGTTTTTTTAGAACACCTAAGCCGCTCCCACGCCAACAGCTCGTTCTCGGGTGTGAGAACGAATTTGAAGCGTTTGAAAGCATCCATCGGTAGCTTATGTCATAGGCTACCTCGAAAAAAAACAAAGAAAAGGGTCCTATAATAGAACACCCGACACACCGAGTTTCCCTAAATCTTCCGTCTACAACTTCCGAACATCACATACAGATATATATACAAGATGGCTACCAAACTGCCTTGTTGAGCCTGTTACCCTCAGGGGAGTTGTCGTTGTATGCTGTCTGGGAAACCGTAGACATACAGGTAGCCTTTCGCTCACGCGATGGATTCATTGCTAATCTTATTTCTATAGATGGAGATGGATTTGTTGTGTGATATTACGAAAATAAAAAAAAATAAAAACACCCAAACGTTGATGGGTTATGGCTGTTGCAGTGTACCTGAAGTTTTACCGTAAAACGGAGGATAACACCCCGGCGCCAATTAAGGGACACTTTGCATTAGTAGTGATTTCTCACGTTCTACTGTATTTCAAAACTTGTCCTTTGGCACGCACCGTGCGTGGTGATGGTAATACCAAGCCGTTGGGAAAGAAAGAAAAAAAACGCCAATATACGGGGACAAAAACGAGGAATCCCCCTGTTTTTTGGGCCTGTTGTTTTCGCCGAATTAGGCCCACTTTGGGCTTCGTGCAGAGAGGTTGGGAGCGTTTTCTTTCTCGTTCTCCGTTCAGTGTCGTGACAAGCAACCCTAGAACAGACGTTATGCAAAGTTTTGGTGCCATCGGAGTTGGGTTCGTCTCTGTATGATCTCCAAACGCTATTTTTGGTCTCTTTCTCGCTCGAAATCGAGCTAGGAAGAGAATAAAAAGCGAAAAAAAAAGTAGGAACAAAAAGATTGATGGAACACAGGACCAAACTCTGCACCACAGAGAATCGTGCACGCCTCTACACCACTGGACTACATCATAAAGTCTGTCTTATATTGATTATAGGGCTTAGCGGCAGCCGCCACGTGGGCAGAAAAATGGCAAATGTCCAAGGGTGTGTTTGGTAAGGTACATACCGGTCGCCCGGCCCGGTGGTCTAGTGAGTAGTCTCGCAGCCTGCTGAGGGCCAGGTCATGGGTTCGAGTCCCGGCACAGTGGTTTTTTTTCTCACTAAATATGTCCTGGTCTAGGACGAAAGCGATGCGTTGCAATTCTCGTTGTTGTTAGTAAACCATAATCGACTTCGTAAGTCGCGAGGGAAGGGATTGCTGTATGTACCCTTCTCGCGATAAAAATATCTCAGGCAGGAACCGAAGGAGGGGGTCTAACCCCCCCCCTCCTGCGTGACCCCGGTTGAGTCATCTAGCTAGTGGAAGTGGAGGATAGGGGCTACAGGGGCAGACGACAGAGTCCAATGATGGGAAAATATATATATATATATCGAGGCGTACCAGCGGTATTATACCTCCTGTATACCGGTACCGAGATGTTCGGTAAGTTCGGTATGGACTTGCAACCTTACTTACCCAAGTTTTCGGTACGTTCGGTACGGACTTGAGTACCTTACCAAAAATACCGGTCGGTGCGTTCGGCATGGACTTCAATACTTTACCGAAGTTTTCGGTATAAACGGTAGAATTACCGACATGTTCGGTACAGTACCGGTACGGACTTGAGTACCTTACCGAAAAAACCGGTACGTTCGGGATGGACTTCAATACCTTACCGAAAATACTGGTAGGTTCGGTAAGATGTAAATACCGGTACCGGTGCGATACCGGTACCGAGCGTACCGGTATCGGGCATATCGGGAAGTTAGGCATGACATTCACCCGATGATGATACCGCCACACACACGCACAGCACCAGCAGACCAGCAGCACAGCAGTGCACCGGCGTACCCTACTCAATCGGTACAGCGTACAGCTGGTGGTGCGCACCAGCACCAGCCGCCCTCATGAGCAACACACCATCCCCCCCCAGCAACAACAACGATGACCCCGCAGCTGGCGACCAAAGCTCATCATCGCCAGCGCCGGCGCCAGCACCTGCCGAGGCAGAGGTTGTTGTGGATGGTGGAGGAGGCAGCAGTGTGCCAGTGATACGGCCTGCTCCTGCCTACAACACGACGGACGACACAGAGTACGTAGTGCCGGCGGACACATTGCAAGCTGTCGACGAGTTTGTGGTGCCGCAGGGGTATCGGAGAGAAAGGGTGCGTGAGTCCACTTTCATGTACTCGCTCGGTGTGTACGTTGAGCCGACAGACTCGAAGAACAACGCCTGCAAGTTCTTCTGGTTGGCGAGCCCGCATTGCCGTTCGAAGAAAACCATGGTGCCCCGCAAAGGCCGCGACCGCGCCAACGTCAACAAGCACATTATGCGCATGGAGGACAACCGCCTCCCCAAGCGCATGCTGCTGGGAGAGATGGCGGGGGGTGCCGGATACCGGGGCGGGCAGGAGAGCGACTGGGTGTATCGCCTAGGAGAGGACCTCGTGGCGTTTGGCATGAAAGAGGAGAAGGAGGGGGGGAGATGGAAAGAGAGCGCCAAGGACCAGGAGGCGTGGTACGACAAGATCGAGGACGGGGCGGCATGGTTCATGAGGAAATGGCACAGACAGGAGGCGGAAGCATCCGCGAAGCGCCAGCGCCAGCGCGCGGAGGAAGCAGAGACGGAGAG